ATGATGGCTTCGGGGCCTATCAAACAAAAAAATTAACAAGAAAAAAAAATCAATAATCCTACCCAAAAAAAAAAAGGAAAATTGAAAGAACAGATTTTTCTGAGATTTTTCGTTTTCGACTTACGAAAGCGCCGCCGAGCTTGTCGAGCATCCAATGCTTGGGGGCATTGAGCCTCTTCAGATGCTTCTTCAATCCTCTAGCCTGTGAGACAATACATTACAAAGTATAAACATACGGTCATGTACACAAACACACACACACAGTGATGATATTCAATTTGTGATTGTGCGTGAAAGAATGGAAGAAGATGAAGAGACGGTGAAAGTACCATTGTTGCAGGGACGGAGAAGACGCAGAAACCCTAGCTGAGGAAAATGGAGTTTTAAGCCTAGCGGAGGAGGAGCGGCGGGGACAACAGCATTTTATACGAATCCCTCTGAATGAGGTGGGTTTAGGGTTGGGGATGTAGAGACTCTCTCCTGATTGCAGTAATGGGCCGGGCCTAACTGGATCATGTGTTATCTACACGGCCCGGCCCGGCCTTAATGGGGGTGATATTTTATTGTAAATGTTAACCATAGGGTTGGTAATTCAGGTAACGACACGATGGCACGACTCGAAATCCGTACGAAATTAGCGGGTTTAGGTTTATCATAAATAGATTCAGGTCAAAATTAGGTCGAACTAGTAAAACACGATTAAATAACGTGTCATTTTCAGGTTGACCCACCAACCCGCAATTAACCCGTGATAACTCATTTATTAAATGTGTCATATTTAAATAACACGATTATACAACCCGTTTGTTACCCGTTTATTACCTACGTTAAAAATGTTTCACTATTTATATATAATTCTCTAATCTCACTATCTCAACCGCCCAACCTAACATTCCAAAGTCTAAACCATCTTTTTCTCTTTAGTCTCGACTCTCTTTGTCTCTCGACTTCCAATCTCTCTCAACTCTCCTCTCTGCCGCCTGAGCTCTCAGTCCACCGGAGGACCACCGCTTCTCTCAGTCCAGACCCACCCACCCTCGCCCTCACCTCACCCACCGGCAGTCCAGCACCGCTGCTTCTTATTCTTCTTCTTCTTCTTTCCTCTCCACCCCATTCTCTCTGGACTCTCCACTCTCTCTGTCAGATTCGACCTTGGGGAGGCAGGGGAACAGATTCAGTCCCTATTCTTCTCATTCTTCGTCAAAATCGGCCTTGGGGAACAGATTCTTTGCTTGGGGAACGGATTCGGTCTTGTTCTTTCACATGTATTTCCCCTATCCATTTTTTGTTTTTGTTTTGATTCTAGGTGATAGTGAAGAAATTACAACTTCTTATCTGCTTCTTGGCATTTGGTCGGAAGTCAATTCCCCCGGCCACAAGATAATGGCTACCCTTGGATTCAATGATGAGAAAGCCAAGGAGCTGGAGTCTTTATGTTCTGAACCAGGATTTGATGATGATTAATGCTGAGATATACTTTTCCTTTTGATCTGTGATGTTATTTTCTTGGTTGAAGATGGATCAAAAGATTTTCTGCTGAGATTTTAATTTGGCGTACAAGTTAATCAAGTCGTGTACCCCCCAAAGTCTATTTCAGAATTCCCCAAACCGGTGCAAATTCTTTATGTGATTATGAATTTTTGTTAAATTCTTGAGTTTTCATTCATTTTATGGTACAATATGCATATATTTCGGTCTTGTTCTTCGACAGGTATTTCTCCTGTCCATTTTTTGTTTTCATTTTGATTATTTGATATGTGTTTGTGGTTTTTATTTGTTATTTTATCTGTATTCACTTTAAGATTGATGGCAAAGATGAGCTATGAGCTATATTAACCTAAATCAGTTCAGTTCCTTTTTTTTTATCAATCTATAATTTTGTATCAGTTCCTTTTTAACCTAATTTGTATTCACTTTGAGATTGATGGCAAAGATGAGCTATGAGCTATATTAACCTAAATTGGTTCAGTTCCTTTTTTTTTTTATCAAACTGTAATTTTGTATCATACAAGCAAGATAGTTCTTATGTATATATTATATACAATCTGTAATTAGTAATTTTGTATCATACACGGTGATAGTAAATTGTATGCTTTCTATTTTAATTCTTGGGATTTAGAGATAGCCGGAGAACTAGTGGGACAAGGCAGTGAAATGTTTTCTATTTTAATGAAGAGGTGGAGGATCTTACACAAGATATCTTTAACTTTTCATTGAAAGATGATAAGCCTTTCTCACATGGATCAACTTCTCATGATCGTAATGATGTACTTGGAGTCCCCCCACTGTAACAAATTATTTAAATGTTTAATTATTAATGTTTGTTTTCTAATTTGTGAGACTTTTATGTGTTTGTTTTCTAATTTGTGGGAGACTTTTACGTGTTTGTTTTAATTTTGAACTTAGATTATGTAATGTCTCTACATCATGTTAAATAGGTTGAGAAACATGTTTTATCACTCATTTTATAAACATGTTCAAAGTAGGTTCAAAAATAGGTCGACACGACCCATTTATCATCTATTTCATAAATAGGTTTAGAGATAGGTTCAGAAATATGTTCAAAATAAGTTAACACAACCTATTAATCACTTATTTCATAAACATGTTGGCAGGTAATCAACGTGTTGACACGACATGTTTACGACTTGTTTAATAAACGAGTTAGTTGTGTCATGTCGTGTCAACCCGCTAATATACATGTCATGTTTGGGTTTTATATTTT